ACACTTGAAAACTGCCACAGTCTTCAAAGGTACATCAAAGACGGTGCAAAATGAGCTTTTGGATTGCATGCTGTCAATCATCAGGGAGCATATAATGGAAGAGGTTAAGTCAGCTAGATTCATAGCAATCCAAGTAGATGAAACAACGGATGTTGCAACACAGATTCAGTTGGTGCTTGTATTCAGATACATCGACAGGAGCCATGCTGTGCAAGAACGTTTCTTTGAGTTCATCCCTGTCTTGGATGCAACAGTTAATTACAATTTTTTTCTCAGTAACTGTAACTGATTACAATTACTTTTATTTTGTAATTAAATGACATAATTCCTTTACATGTAACTAGTTACTCCCCAACACTGCCCATTATGTGCATTGCTATGCACACCAGCTGAATTTGATCATGCAGCAAGCTACTTCTCAAATTCCAGCAGTGAGAGTTTTCTTTTCTGATCTGGGTGGCATCACCAGCTTTTTTACACGGTCACCGAAACGCACTACTATTCTCGACCAGATTGTTGCACGAAGGCTGCCAAGAGCCTCATCCACAAGATGGAACTTCAATAGCAGAATCGTGAACACTGTATACGAGAACCTAGATGATCTCAAAGAGTGTTTCAGATCTGTTGTGACTACCGGTTCATTTGATAGCACCACAGTGAGGGAAGCATCTGGCTTCCTGAGGATGCTGCAGGATGAAGACTTCCAGTTTTTTCTGCAACTGTTTCATCAAATAATGCCCCACGTTGACATGATGTACCAGCAGCTGCAGAAGAAGGACATTGATGCAGCCTTCATCAAAGAAGCCCTACAGAACTTCACAATGAAAGTGCAGACCATAAGGTTAGATCACATAACATTGTTCATACCTTCTCAATATAGAACCATGTCATTTCATAATGTATGCTATATGGTAACAAGATTTAGAAACTTCAAAGTGGGAAACTAATTTAGTCATCTGCATCTTTTGAAATTGTAGTTACCGTATGTGTAACAACATTAAGCCAGCAATTTTTATATTTTTCCAGCTATTGTCAGAATTTTTTCTTTTTTTTCAGTTTTTCTAGGACATGAGTTGCAAGTATTGTCAATGACAAACAGTTTTATTCATATACAAACACTGTTGATCTGTCTGCTTTCAGGGACCAGAGCTCATTTCAAGAGCAAGAACAGCAGCAAGTAGCAACAGAAACGACAAGATCTAGGAGGGCCTTGGGAGAAGAAGAGAAGCAGAGGCTGTCTAAAAAGGTATAGGAATTTATTACTGACCATTTAATTGGTCTACTTAAGTGCTGGAATATCACACACTTTTTTACATTCAGCTCATGAATGGATGGTAGCAGTCTTTTTTACTCCTAGTATTGTACTTTTGAATTACCTACAATTGTTTAAAAAATACCGTTTTTTTTTGTTTCCTGAAAAGATAGATGCGGCTTTCAAATGCTCGCGTGTGCTTCTGAGTAAGCGCTTAGTGAAAAGTGTGAAGCAATGATCACTGTAGCCAATCACAGTGATATCTGCTGAGTGTGTGAACAAATGCTGGTATTGTCACATTTTAAAAGTAGATACTTCTGACAACACTAATTTATTATAATAAACAATTAATTTTATTACCAAAATAAACTTATTTTTGACATCTGCGACACAATCCTGAACCACACCAAAGAAAGGTTCTTATTCACTGACCACCTTGTGAGTGGTAATGTAAGTGAGCAGTGTAAGTGAGCAGTGTAATGTAAGTGAGTAATGTAAGTAAGCAGTGTAATGTAAGTGAGCAATGTAATGTAAGTAAGCAGTGTAATGTGAGCAGTGTAATGTAAGGGAGCAGTGTAATGTAAGGGAGTAATGTAATATAAGTGAGTAATGTATGCAGTGTAATGTAAGTAAGCAGTGTAATGTAAGTGAGTAATGTAATATAAGTGAGTAATGTATGCAGTGTAATGTAAGTAAGCAGTGTAATGTAAGTGAGTAATGTAATATAAGTGAGTAATGTATGCAGTGTAATGTAAGTAAGCAGTGTAATGTAAGTGAGTAATGTAATATAAGTGAGTAATGTATGCAGTGTAATGTAAGTAAGCAGTGTAATGTAAGTGAGTAATGTAATATAAGTGAGTAATGTATGCAGTGTAATGTAAGTAAGCAGTGTAATGTAAGTGAGCAATGTAATGTAAGTAAGCAGTGTAATGTAAGCAGTGTAATGTAAGTGAGCAGTGTAAGTAAGCAGTGTAATGTAAGCAGTGTAATGTAAGTGAGCAGTGTAAGTAAGCAGTGTAATGTAAGTGAGCAATGTAAGTAAGCAGTGTAATGTAAGTGAGTAATGTAATATAAGTGAGTAATGTATGCAGTGTAATGTAAGGGAGCAGTGTGATATAAGTGAGTAATGTGATGTAAGTGAGTTGTGTAAATAGTGATTTATTTGACTTCAATTATTTCTTATTAAACTGAAATTGAAGTAAAAAGTTTTGGAAAACCACATCCTGGCTTCAGTCTTCATTTGCTGCTGAATTGTGTTAACACGCATATGGAAACATAAGGAGAGCAAGAGATTGATTGTTAGTCAGTTTATTTTTAATTAATACTACAGTAGTTCAGTTTCCTTTACATCTTTAACTAGCCGTTAATTTATCAATTGAATGGGTGACCTATCCTCATTAATCATGCAAACATTTGCCCCCCCTGAGAGAATTGGCAGGAGCCGCCACTGATTTGCACAACATCCTCTTTGCAGGGAAGACACAACAGTCAGCCATAAATCTCAAAACTTTATTCTCTATCAAATCATAACACAGTGAAAATATGCTCCACATGTGTATGCTATGAAATTGAACACTATTGCAGTTAACCTAACACTACATTTTAGACCAGAATATTTTACCAGGTTTTGGTAAAATGCAAACCTGCACTCGTGTTTCATTTTCATTTGTCAGGATGTATGGGTCTGAGTTTGAAACCCTACATCAACTCTACTACTTGTACATGTAAATGATGAGAAATGAACACCTTGTGTCAGAGTATCAGTGGCTGATATATACCCTTGTATAGTGATAAAATACTTTGTCAATAAATGTGTTACTGTGTGTGACTTTTTATCTTTTGACACTTTTATTTGTAACTAAACTCTACAGGACATGTCTGACAAAGAATGCAGAGTAGGAGCTCGTCTCTTCTTCAAGCTGCTGTTTTTTGCCGTTTTGAGGAACGTCCTTGTTCTTTCAGCTCAATGTAAGTGATGTTTTTGGCCTTGTTGGTTGGGTCGGGTTCTGTATATGTATATGAAATGTTTCACGTTTGGTCTAAATGCCATTTAATATTGTTTGTGTACAGGAGGTATTCTGTTATGATTGCATGGGCTGTACCAACCATTAACAATGTGTACTGTAATGTGTAAGGCCTGCTTCATCCTGAACACTCATTTGGACTGATTATTCCTGTCATGTTCCTTGATGCTGGTTTTGGAATGGGGACTGGATTCTTAATATGGATATTAACCACTGGGTGCTGATTCATCAGTGTTTATTTGTGATCCCTTTGTATCCTCTGCCCCCTACAAGAAGTGTATTGTAAGGTAGTGTGGACTCATGTCTTTATGTGGTTATGATCAATGATGTATTTTTCTGGTGAATGTTTTTGATTTATTTTACAAAGGGTCTATCCCAGAGAACACCATCCACCATCATATCAGGAGCATGTCTAGATGTTGCCGAAGTGCATACAGACATGCAGAGGTTATACAAGCTACTGACTTACATTAGGAGTTGCTGTGATGAAATTCAATTCGATCAGCTTGTAATTTCAAGTTTTTATTTTGATCTTCAGTATGATTTTGAATCCAGCCCTCGATGTGTTGATGGTTTTGGCTTCCAGTGTCACAAACTGTTTTCAACAAACTCGCAATGTATAGGTAAATACACAAGCAAATATTTTCAACTTGTATATTTAGTTCGAGTTTTAATGTGTGATTTAAATGTTCCCTTTTTTGAGCATTTATTAAATACTTAAATTTGTGTACAACGAGAATAAAAGCACATTTATGTCATACAGCAATGGTTATACTAATATAAATAATGATATCTTGTAGAAAATCGTTCATGGCCACAGTAGCCTCATCAACGGGACACGCATGCACTGAACGCCACTGTAGTAAACTGACCCTGGAGCAGGTTATGTTCAGTGTGAGCTGCTGCGGCTTCTTACCCTAAAAGCCACATCAGTTTTTTGATCATATTTACAGCCTCATAGCAACTGTGGTTTATCACCATAGCCCATCAACTTACCTGAATTGTCTTTAAAGTCTTTCTACAGGTTTACTTGGCTAGAATTTCTTAACAGATTTATTATTAAAACAAATGACAACAATGTTTTACAAAGCTTTCCCCGTTTAAGGTAGTAATGGTGCTTATCAAGTTCATTTACACAGCCAGCAGGCAATGAAGAACGCAGAAAACATCAGCATGAAACACCAAACTTTTAAGTCGCTCATTTATTGACTTTAAAACGACTTATAAAAGCATCAAGTGGCTTGAGAGTTCACAATCTGTATTAAGCAAACATTGCAAATGTGAAGTCCATCAACAAGTATACCGCACCAGTTTCACATCAGGTTCTTTTATTTTATACCAGTCATGCAAAAAACTGCTTGCCTTTAATCTCACTACTTGATAAAACCACCGCAGAATCATCACACTGATTTTATAATCCACAATGGTTCTAGTAAAGGCAGATTCTTCAGTTGTGGGCTAACAGCTCTTGCTCTTGGAAAGCTTCCCATTACGCCCTCATTAGTTCAGAAACTTCATGAAGAACATTTCAGAACAATGCTGAACATCAACATGACCCACACACATGTGGAGAAAGGGAAAGAGACATCCAGCAAGGCAACCCACAGCACTGTCAGAAGGCCATTTCTTCAACACATTAATGCCATTTGATCTGGTGAAGCTAGGAAATAAAGGAATCGACGGCGGTTTGCATTGCACAGGGAATGCATCAGAAGTACAACCTGAAGGGTTCAATTTCATTTTATTTTCATATCAATGGAAAAATATAACCTCATACAAACGTCTGATTCTGTTCATTCTTTTTTTAAAAGCTTGGTGAATGACTCCAATTAAGTGCCGCAAGAAGAAAAAAAATTACAACCAAAGCACATCAATGCAAATCAGATTGCGACATGTTGACATGTTTATTTCGCGTCTTCTACGTGTCAACACACATTACGCTCAAGTCCATTGGTATCCGCATGGATTTGGCACTCATTTCCCTGCAAAACAAATGAAGGAGAATAAAGGAGGAAGTGGAAGTGTCTAATTCCTGCACCCCTTGAACATGGACTGCTCTGCTAGAACCTGCACCTCCAGTGGCAAGTCTTTCCAGGTGTCTATCTACACCATCCATGCTAGCATACTAATAACACAACCATTTATTTGTAATTCAATTTTTTTTTTAAAAAGGAGGGGGAAAAAAATATAGCGCAGCAATTGACTGAGAAAGCAGGATGAGCGCTCGTCGCCAGATCACCCGAGTGCTGCCCATCCCTGACCACCTGCCGCTCTCCTGTTTACACAAGTGCATCTCACTGAATTTGCAAACAAGATATTTATCATCTTTATTTATTATTGGTTGAAATAAAAAGGGGATGTGGAGCCAGCGACCCCCTTCGTTCATTCACACACTCACACTCCAGTCACGCCATTACAAACTCCAGCAGCATCACTTCCTTCTTTTTGTTTGTGTCTTCTGACAAATGTGTTGCGTAATAGGGAACATCTGCAGTCGCAACACCTTACACGTGCCCAAAGATGTATTCCTTTCTTGAGCTAAACGCAGACAGGCTGGCAAGCGTGCACTAATATGATGCACTAGCTTTTCAAAGGGAGAATGTGGATGGTGTGGAATAGTTTATTAGTGGGGTCAGAGACATGAGAAGAGGGCTTGATGAGGGGAAGGTGTTGGCCGCTGAGTTGTTCTGCTGCTGCTGCTGGAGTTGAACTCTGAAGGTGGTGTGATGTCTCTCTCTCACTCTTTCTCACTCATTCTCAGACACTCATCTCAGCACACACGTCACTTCTGCTTTGACGTCTATGTGTAAAAGACAGAAGAAACCTCAGTGGGTTTGATTTCCATTATTCTTGGTAGAAGCTCCACGGCCGGTAATCTGAAAACAAACCAAGAGAAAACCATGGAGAACACGGCTGAAGAGACTCGCATTACACGGAGCAAAACGACACGGTTTGTGGCAGACTAAAGTGCTCGAGCCTGAGGGCCTTCAATTCAGCTAAAATGTTAGATGAGCTTCACAAAAACACGTTCAGGACACTTCTCACCCGAAAACGAATGGGCTTCACTTTTATTCTATGAAAAAACTCATTTTAGGAGCAATAAAAGGCCTGTTCACACCAGGACTGTTCGCAGCGATAACGTTTTAATTAGTGCCGTCAATCGATAAAAAATTTATACTAATCAAAAAAATTAAAACTATTTTTTTCTGAAATTAATCGTGATTAATCCCACATAACAAAGTTTGCAAAAATACTTTCATATTGCAATAATCTCACATTCAATCTTTAAATTAATGTAGAAACAAAGACGGTATATTTTTTATATTTGTTTAATGGCATCTTTTTTTTTTTTAATGAAGGCGAGTATCACGGACATCAACACTACTGATGTCTCTAGGGAATAGATTTCCTCCACCAATATTTAACCATTGACTACAGCCATTCAACATTACAGTACAATTGAGAGCTATCAATAAGAACATTGCTCCTTGTTATTTTTTAAAGTCTAATCAGAGTATAACGGCTGACAGGACAGGCAGATGTCCTGACATCATCTCATCTGACCACAGTTCACTGATGTTCTCCTGTACCGTTTCCGTGCTCGTTTGACTAGCGCCTGCCGCTAGATGAGCTCGCTAACACGTTCTGTGTCTAAACAAGCGCAATTCTTGTCAAGAAAAAAAGAGACAGAAGCAGCAGTTGTGCATGAGGTGGCCAAACCCCTGCTCCGGCCCACGTTAACACTTAAATATCTTTAATGCAGTTAAATTGGAAAAATGTATCATCTGCATTAACGCACTAATTTTGACAGCACTAATTTTGCTTTGGGTCACATGCCCAGACCAAAAATGAACAAAGGGCAATAATGAGAAATACCAGCCATAGCATGTCAGCATCTTGATACGCAAACAGTGTGCTCTTTTTCAAGAGCTCCACCTACTGTCAGAGAGGCAAACTGCAGTTTCACCAAGCCTGTCTGCCAGCAGACGAAAGACATGCACAAACCTGACTTTTTGTGCCGGTGTGAACAGGCCGCAAGGATTTCTGTGCGAAACACGGTTCTTTTGGGGTCAAATGTGACCTCTAAGGTGAGATCTACGTGAGGTGCATGGCATACCAAGCTTGGCTCTTCAGCTTGCGGAGCTCCTTCGTGGCCCATGTGGCTAAGGTCTTGGTCTTGCTGGTCTTGGACCTCCGGCCTTCAGAGAGCAGATCGTTGATCTGAGGTCGAACCTCCACCAGCTTCATCACGTCTTTGCCAAAGGTTGTACACAGGTCACTTTAGGGGGGAAGAAGAAGAAGGGTCAACTTGACTATGTGCCAGAACAACAGAAGACATACGCCAGAGAAATGAACAAGCTGCCATTTTAAAAAGCATGAACCCACAAATGGAAAGTGTAGTGTAGTCCTTCTAAACCCAATGAATTTTGTCCACACGAGAGCAGAAAAAGCAACAGCCTGACACGATCTTCAGAGAAATGCAGACAACTGCTGTGACTCGTTTTCTGGTCACCAAGTTCAACTTTCAACCATAATGGCCCAACAGGTTAAACACTGTGATAGCACTGGAAAGACTGGCCAACACAACGCAAGGCGATGATTCATTCATCAAGCAGACTAATCCAGTTATGTTTGAAAGCTTGGAAAATCCCTGATTTTCTCGGTGCAAGAAAAATGGAAATACACTGGTTTATTCAAGGTCTAATCCAAGCTAGCAAATGCTATGAAGAGATCTGCAGAAAACACCTGAATTATGTTAGTAACACACGAGCAGAACAGCGGACACACACAGAACTGTCACTAACCCAATTATTTCAGTATTGAAGAAATCCTAAAGGAAAAGTGTACTATCAGACCTACCTGAAAAACCTCAAACACTTTAAATAATCATTTATATCTTGGGTCTGTTGTATTCATTTTATAACTAATTGTTTATAAGTTTTAACGTTTGAACTTTATATTTGGCTAGACTAGTAGTTTTTGCTGTGGTACCAAAACTGGAATCGAGAACTGTGAAGCTGCATTGGTATTTAAAATGTTGGTGTCAAACTTAAATATTGTAATTAATAAGGTGGTCAACATGGGTTAAAAACAACAAATAATAAGTTATTTCGTCAGGGCGTGTAACAATCTTAAGCCCTACCACAGCTGGGCCAGTAGAAAACATGGTTTAGTGATTTGTTAAGCAAGAAGTTCTTACCCTATGAGTCCGACAGCATTGGCCACCACTCCGTCGGATCGGTCTTCGTCCTCAGCGATGTGGTGAATGAACGACAAGATGAACTCAACACGAGGCTGTACCAGCATTACATCAGCTGGAGGAGGAAACACACGTTTTACCATGAATCCATGCAACGCTCGGCTGCATGTGACGGTCACGAGACGAGGTCCAGCTGAACTTACGGTGCACGTTCTCCTGGTCTCCCTTCAAGCCCTGGATGATCCCAGTGTAGGCCTCCAGACAGCCCTCTCGCAGCTCGTTCAGATAGTCCACCATATCATAGTCCGTCTGCAAGACAGCAGGTAGCCTGGCTTAACTTTCAGAGGTGTGCCGTTTAAAACTATTAGCTCAGGCAAACTCAATTCCATCATTTCAGAACACCGGTGAATCCACTTTCATAATTGCAATTTCAACGTCACAAAAACAACCCATCTGTGGCTAATCACAGTAACAAATGTCAGTGCTTAAACGCACCCGCAGCCACTGTTAGGGTAATCCACACGACCCCAGGGGATAAATCAACATCCTCTGAACAACAATGATTTCTTCAGAAATCTTCAAAAAATTTAATTTTGAATATTCGTTGAATTAAAAATAAAAATCCACATTTGAATGCAGAAGCGTAGCATTAGAATGCTAGGTGTGCGTCAGGCAGCTTTATCAGTGGCACTCGAGATGCGATGACGATGAAGGTGTTTTGCATTTTAATGCGTTGTTCATTCTAAATACTGCGGAGAAAGAGAACATCAATGCGGAGAAGATGCTGTTTACGTCAAAACTGAAACCAAGCCGTTCAACACAGAACACATATTTATGGCATTCTCTAGAGGGACATCTATCACTGTTGCACTCGCGTCTCGCACAAGAGAGCCGCATGTAGAGAAAGCCATGGAAAATTAATGTAAGTTCAACTTTTAAAAAACATGTCTCGAGACTTTATGGCGGCTTCCCCATCCCACTGCATCTCATGTTTTTAAATGAAGAAAGTACTCTGTGTGACTGGTTTTCAGTCCTTTGTATTAAACTATACATACATGCATGATGCTGTTTTGTTTCTAATTGTTTAAAGGGTTAGTTCACCCAAAAATGAAAATTAGCCCATAAATTACTCACCCTCAAGTCATCCTAGGTGTATATGACTTTCTTCTTTCAGACGAATCCAGTCGGAGTTATATTAAAAATTGTCTTTAATCTTTCAAGCAGTTTAATGGCACTCAGCGGGTGTTGCAGTGCTTCAGTCCAAAAGAAGTGAAATAAAGCGCATGCATCCATAATAAAAAGTGTCTCACACGGATCCGGGTGGTGAACAAAGGCCTCCTGTAGCGAATCGATGCGTTTTTGTAAGAAAAATAACCATATTTAAAACGTAATAGTCACTTGAATGTAGCTTGCGCTCACTGTTGTAAACTGAAGCAGTTCCGGTGGAATGACGTATGAGGTCAGCTTTTATATTATGTGTATTTACATGTCTATATTTATATTCATATAATTTATATTATAAATAAATATATTTAATAAATAAACTACATTTTTCTGAAATATATACATGCATGTGTGTGTACTTGTACATAGGTAATAAACATATACAGCACAGTAGGGTTTTTCGATTGATCGCCTTCTGCTTCCGCCTTCTGCTAATTCACGCCTGCACGCCTGCATGCTAGGTGGCGCCGACCAACAATGCATTTTTTCCTCAGATATATACATATAGCCTATATGTGACCCTGGACCACAAAACCATAAGGGTGAGATTTATGCATCATCTGAAAGCTGAATAAATAAGCTTTCCATTGATGTATGGTTTGTTAGGATAGGACAATATTTGGTCGAGATACAACTATTTGAAAATCTGGAATCTGAGGGTGCAAAAAAATCTAAATATTGAGAAAATCATCTTTAAAGTTGTCCAAATTAAGTTCTTAGCAATGCATATTACTAATCAAAAATTAAGTTTTGATATATTTACAGCAGGAAATTTACTAAATATATTCATAAAACATGATCTTTACTTAATATCCTAATGATTTTTGGCATAAAAGAAAAATCAATAATTTTGACCCATACAATGTATTGTTGGCTATTGCTACAAATATCCCCCAGCGACTTAAGACTGCTTTTGTGCTCCAGGGTCACAAATGGATTTAACATCATCCGCTGCTCAATATACAGCATTGCATTAAGATAAATAGCCTAAAGTTTGGTTCTATGCCAGAAACAAACTATCACAATCTATAATGCTTACAAGAAAACATCTTAAAATACAAGCAGAAGTAGCATCAAGCCACATATGAAAATATACGTTAATTAATGTTTTTGCTTAAAACCCACTTTAAACCATCATCGAGTGCTTGTAATAACTTCCGATTGTGATCTATAGTTGATTTTGATTCTAGGCAGACAAGCACTCTTTGTATGTTTAATAACGCCACACTCAAACTATCACAATCTATAATGCTTACAAGAAAACATCTTAAAATACAAGCAGAAGTAGCATCAAGCCACATATGAAAATATACGTTAATTAATGTTTTTGCTTAAAACCCACTTTAAACCATCATCGAGTGCTTGTAGTAACTGATTGTGATCTATAGATTAATAACGCCACACTGCTTATTGTCATAAACATCCTTTATTGTTATAAAAATACCATGAGCTGCATACAAAACACATACAGAAAACATATTGTCATATGTCTATTTGCTTTCATATTTCATGTGTAGAAATCTATTTCACTATTTTTTTTTATACGGAAGATCTAGAGAGTTAAGGCACAATATGTAATTTTCGCCGCTAGAGGGCGCGTATTCAAAATAAACAAAGGAACAAAGGTGTAGTTTGATGACGGGCGTGACTGAGTGTGGAATCATGGGAGTTGTGGTCTTCATCTCCAGCGGAGCTTTTATTATGCCACAGTCGAGCGCTTCCGCTGCTTCCGGTCGTGCGTATGTCGGGTAAAGCAGCGCTGTTTTATCATACTAGATACGAAAGTTCTGTTATAATGCTACTCTGTGCGGTCGTCACCGGTCTATTAAAACACAACATATTAAAGCGTCTTTGGTGTTATCATGTTTTCTACAAAAAAACAAAACAAAACAAAAAAACAAAACAAAAAAACAACGGAAATCGAGGGGTTATCACGTCATTGGAAGGCGACACAATGACACTATGGACACGCTCCGTGTTACTAGTTAAAATTGCTTATTTCTCTGGATTTAAACATTCTTCGAAACATTTGGGATAATGCAAGTACACAAGTCAGCAAAATATATAACACTGTTCTAGTGGTTTTTGGATATTTTAATAAAAAAATCTTACATATTGTGCCTTTAACGCGCTCTGACTCATAAGAAAACGGACAGTGATCTCCAGATCATAATTCAGTGGAGAATTAATAGATATTATATTAAGAACATGTGAGAATAAATCTGTTCTCAGATACCAAAGACAACAGGAACTCGGCATCCTCTCTCTTCTCTCTTGGGATACTTCGGTGTTTGTTTACACTGGTTTTCGAAACCGCGCCACCACTCTTGCCTTTTTGTGCAACAGCAGCTTCTCCACGCACGTGATCTAAGCTCAAATCTGATTGGACAGCCCATTTAATCGAGGAGCGACGGGGAAAAAAATTGACATGACAAAAAAAAAATCTTCGCTTTTTCATGCCGTGAATGATCGTGCCTGGTGTGCATAGCCTCTTAGGGATCTATTGTTTCGATTCAAAAGCGTCATTGCACCGAATTTCGCGTTCAGTGTGAAAAGCCCTTTACATGCTTCATAGATTTACACAATAACAAGAACATTTACTAAACCAATAACTGAAATATATCTAAAACATTCACAATCAAGTTTAGATGGGTCCATTTTTAAGTGTCACAAGAATCAACCCATTTATGTAATCAGTGACACGGACTACGTTTACGTGGACATCAGTAATCTAATTATTTACCTTATTCTAAATAAGCCAATATTATGATTATGGTGTTTACATGAGTTGCTTTTAGAATATTCCTTTCATGTTCCCGTTTTACATGTTATAGTACATAGTTCGATTAATGGCACACGTCATTACATCCCCACGTGACGCCATCTGACGTCCCCTCTGTAATTTCACGTATAAACATAGTTCGTCTTCGTGATGATGCCATGTACAGTTTTGGGTGTTTCATTTTTTATTTTATGAAAGCTTCAAGCGCAGTTAATTATTTGTACGTGCAAACAGACGTAGAGTGTTGAAGCTCTTTTATTTGCCGTCAAACGGTTAAGCACTGCCGCCGGCGGTGCGAAAACGCCAAAAAGTGGGTAGTTCCACAATTAGTTCTGGTCCTATGAAAAGGTTCCTGTGGTGCGAAAGGCCCTAATGAGACTAAAATAGGAATACTCCACGTCTCAATTAGATTTCTGTTTACTTCGATTATGACTTTAGCCGGATGAAGGTAATCAAAAATCTCTGTTTACATGGTAGATTCTTAATCAGAGTATTGTCTTAATCATATTAAAATCGGATTATTGTTGTCCATGTAAACGTACTCACTGTTGTGCCAGACTGGCCATTACAACAATTATAACCGCATACTAAATTCTCTAGAGCTCTGACTAAATCTAGAACTCAACTAAATTGACTAGTCATTTTCAGACCCATTGAACAGGAGAAGGAGCACGTCTCTGCAGTCAGAAAGCATGATCCCCAGCCCTGCTCTGGTTTATGACAGGTGTTTGTGGTCCGTCTGGGGAACAGAGGTGTTGGGCTGTGCTGCTTACCTTGTCCACCTGTGCCTGCGAGGCCTGCTGCAGAGTGTCCAGCACAATGTCCAGGTACTTCTTGAATTCACCACCAATGGCAAGAGCAATATCGCCAAACACAGACAGGATCTGGGGCTTCACAGACCGGTGCACATTCTCGTTCTGCAAAGACATGCATTCAAAAAATTATATAACTGTTTAAAAAAAAATCTGGATGCAGTTGCACTGCTGCATTTACAGAGGAAGAAAGAGATAGAAGGAAACTGCAGAGCTAGTACAGAGCTTCAGAAAAATACACAACTACACCATTCTTATTTAAACCATTTCTGTTGTTCATCCTTTTAACCCACACAACTCTCACAGTAAAATCTGACCCGTCGTAACTCAACCGACAAGGCTGAAGGCCATTGTACACAAGAGTCAGAAATTTTCATCCAAAATTTTCACACGTTGAAAAATAAATATGACCTCACATTGTCACTCACGTTCGATTTTCTGCGTTTTTTTGCATCCGTAGCAAGCATTTTGAGGTGTTTTGACAATTCAGAGCCACCGTGCAAGCGAACGGCAAAATCCAGAATGGTGATTATCAAGCTGATCCACTTCGTCTCGCAGCACAAACACTGTAAAGATCCCTGCACACTGAGTTCACAGAAATTGGTGGTCTTCTTTTTAATATGTGGCTCTAGTATCACTAGCAAAGCATCAAACTGAGCCATCCTGTAGTAGTAGTAGATTTTTATTGAATGCCATGTCAGCATCTTGGGCTATTTTCATGGCAAAAACAACTCAAAAAATACAAGTATAACAGCAAACAAACAAGTTACATTACACAAGAGTTTTTACATTAACATATGATAAAAATTCTAAAACATTTTCTGGCGAAATCATACTAAACTCTTTAAGTGAGTTTGCTTCATAAAAGAGTTTTCTACATGCATTAAAAGCTGGACAGCCCAATAAAACATGTTTGACAGAAAGGGGAATCTTGCAGAACATGCATTGAGTAGGGTCTTCACCTTTAAGCAAAAATGCATGAGTCAGTCTTGACATCCTGAAGTACAATTTGAATCGCTCGGGATAATCCCGCTGCTCCTTAATAACGAGGGGAACTCTCCTTCCTCTCTATATCTCAGGATTGGATGGACCCAATATTTCCTTTCTTTTTCTCTTTTTAAGAAGCGAGAGGACAACAAAATCATCCTCACTGCTTGACTCCATTTAGTACTGTTTTGTGAATTTTTTTCGCAACAGATGAATTAATACACATCGAACTCAGTGTGCAAGGTTTCTATGTGTGACGGATTTTTAGGATAATGAATACGAAAAAATGCATATGAAAACTTCGGACTCAGTGTGCAATGCCCTTAATGGTTACAAACGAACAGCCAGGACAGCTTGTGAATCAAACGATTTAAACGAGCAGCGCGCACACACACACAAAAGACTTACACCCAGGTTCTCCAGCAGCAGCTGCATGATTTCGTCACAGTGAGGCAGGATGTTGGCCATCAGCGCTCGGCACAGATCACACACCAGCCCCACCGCAGCCAGACACACCTGCACACACACAACACAGCACACACTGAACACCGTTCAAGGTTTCATTCACAAACAAGCCACACTGTCACTTGTTTTTAGAGGGGTTTATGAGCTGTTGAGTCCCGCAATGTCCAGTGTGGCCACAGGAGACCGTGGGGTCGGCACACACCAGGTGAAGTAGACTCTGATTCTCTGTGATGATATAAAATCCTGAGCTGCCTGAGCTCAGAGCAGCAGGAGGAACAATCATCAACAAACGGCAGCTTTACCCCAGCATTACCTGGTACTCCGCAAAATTCTTCAGGCCGATAACCAGGAAAGGCTTGAAGGCTTCCATGTACTTCAAGAAATCACTGCCCAAAACTGGAGAGGGAAGGTAGAGGGGAAAAAGCTGATTTCAATCATTCAGTAAATGGCTTTAGGAAATACTATCAAGACACTGAGGGATGCTCGTCAACTCCCAAGATTCTTCATTCCTCCTAACATTACATCCTGAACATATCTGTTAGTTTGGTACAAGGAAGATAGACTTGAATCTATTGTTTGGAAGCTCTTCCTCATAACTCCAGCATGCTAGGTGAGAGGGCAGCGAGCAGGCGGTGATCTGATCATAAAACATGTCCAGCTGCATTTAACGCTGGCCACCTGAGATGGCATTAAAAACACCAGGTGGAAACATGGCCAGAGAAATTAAACACAATAACTGACTCAAACCTGGCGGATTTTAATTTAGCTGTAATATCAGACAAGTACCTTAATACCATGGTAAAATAAAACTAGATGGTTATTAGGCATCTGTATGAAAACTGTAGTCTATCTATAGACATGTGTAGATTAAAAAAACCTTCTGACTGCTTCGTTGCGCACGGTGTTGCTCCTGTTCATCAGCGCTTTTATCTGGCTTTAAAGTCACCGAGTCATTGGTGTTGTTCGCTGAATTCAAGCGCTTCACACTGGATCTCAAAGTATAAAATTATACTGCAATAATTATCGTTATCGATTTATCGCCCAGCCCTAGTTTAGATAAGAACAGAGTTTCCCACTGGCCCCAAACAACTCACGTTTGTAGCAGAAAGCTGTGTTCAGTTTGACTCTCTGACTGACAGCTAGCTAATGCTGTCCACCGCTCGAATGTTTGCAGCCAAATGTTAGGCCCACAGCAGCATACTGAAGCCCCTCACCTTCCACCAGAGTGCTGACGGCCATGAGAGCGTCCTCCTGAACGCCTCCGGAGCCAGCAGTGCTCTGAAACATGCGCAGCAGAGACGCCATCACCACATCAGAGATCTGCAGCGCGTCCTGATGCTGCACCTTCCTCAGCACGTTCTGGGAGGACGGGGCACAGATGAGAGAGCGAGGGCACACACTCACACACACACACACACACACACACACACACACACTCACCTGTAGGGTGGCACACAGCAGGGACTGCAGGTCATTGAACTGGATCCTGTCTGAGGTGCTCTGGATGTGAGACTGGACAAGAGACAGAGGAGTTCAATTACAGCCAACAAAACAAGCCTCATCCTCACACACGGCTCAATTCCTTCTGAAAGAGACAAGACTGAGCCTGAACCACAGGGCTGCTCATCAACACAGACTTCTCTATTTTAATCCATTCTCATTTTGATGAGCCAATATGGATTATTGAATTCAAATAAATTTAGCTTTTAGTCTAAGCAGTTTTCAGTTGATGCAGGAATAATTTTACTAAATGTTATTTAGATAATTTATATAATAAGCTTTGCTTTTTTCATATGAAACAATGACTCCACATTCAAAATTGTCAATTATGATTTTCAGTTCAGTCCGTTGGTGAAATTAGGGCTGCACGCATTTTGTCAGTAAAGGCGGTTCTGTGATCAGCAGTAAATCTCCATCACATGCTTTCAGATGGAGTGGCATTTACTACAGAGCCGTAGTTCACTGACAAGCTACTCAATATCGCGTTCATAATCGCACAATTATGAAATCGAAGAAATCATTCTGCGATTATGAAAGCTGTTTGTGTAGCTTGTCAGTGAACTACGGCTCTGTGTAGTAAATGCTGCTCCATCTGAAAGCACCACATTTCATAACATGTTTTTACTCCAAACTCACTTCATAACGTCAGTCGAGTGTTTGAAATAAATCCTTCTGTGAGATGATGTGGCTTCTTACACAGAATAAGGCACGCAACATATTTCATAGTATTTAAGCAGTGATAAAGGCATTGCATTATAGATATACTTTATTGTGATTAGGGCGGCACGATAAATCGCATGCGATATTTAATGCGCATCTTGTCAGAAAGCCGGTTCTGTAATCAGCGGTAAATCTCCATCACGTGCGTGCTTTCACATTGAGCAGCATTAACTACACAGAGCCGTTGTTCACTGACGAGTTGCGCAAAACCATGTTCATATTCGGGCGATTTTTTTGCGCAGCTCGTCAGTGAACAACGGCTCTGTGTAGTTAATGCTGCTCAATGTGAAAG